TGTGTGTGTGTGTGTGTGTGTGTGTGTGAGAGAGAGAGAGAGACGATAACTCTCCGACCTCGCGGCTCGCGCCATGCTACTTCCATCGATAGGATGCGCAACATCCAATGAATCTTCAGCTAGAACATGGAAATATTCACTACATGGTTGAACCCCGCCTCGTCGTCGGTCCCCCGCCCCTTCGCCCGATGTTACACCCACGACGTTGTTTTCAACCGCCGCACCCTCCTCGGTCCCCTGCGGCACCGCGCGCGGACCCCCCTGCCCGATTTTCACTCGGTACCCGCCTCGGCCTGGGACTCGCCCCTGCACCGGTTCGCCTGCCCGCATCCCTCGTGCCACTGCTTCGGCCGTCGGTACCCGCCTCCGCCTGGGACTCGCCCCTGCGCCGGTTCGCCTGCCCAGTTCTGCCCCTCCACAGGTTTCCCTTGGGCCCGCGACCGAGCGTGTCGTCGGGCCCTTTGTATCTTTTAGTTGTATAGAGACTATACATAATTACAACAAAAAGAGTTGACCGCAGCCGATAAGAATGTACATCCAATCCAGAGTAATAACTGGGAGAATTCAAATCATCATTTGATACATTCAACAACACAAAATCGAAAACAATCTGACCATCTCAGGTCGAACACCACAAAACAATCATACAATCGTCAACAAAGAGTCGACTATCAACAATAATATTGATGCAGCCGATAAAGTAATCGGTTGCCTTAGTTTTGACTTGATGAGATGTGCTGCCAAGGTTTCATTCCATCCTACCGCCGACCTAAGATTGAACGCGCTCACACCCGTCTCCATACTTTCTCAATCTTATTGGATGACAGGCTATTTTGCACTGATTCTTGATCAGAGGCATTGCTTGAAGTGTTGCATGCTTCTCCCTCTAGGATGTGGTCAAGGGTACTCCTCCTCCTCGTCCGACTACAAGACTCGGATCTCAGAAGTCGGGCCTCACACCCGTCTCCATACTTTCTCAATCTTATTGGATGACATGCTACTTTGCAATGATTCTTGATCAGGGGCATTGCTTGAAGTGTTGCATGCTTCTCCCTCTAGGAAGT